ACTTAAATTATTCCATAATTTGACCCCACTTATAGAAATACAAAATCTTTTTTGGTCGTACGTATAGCATGAACTTTTAGATTTAACTGACCCCTTAAATTATAACCCCCTTCCCTTTCATCAAATAACCTTTGGATTCCACCAGGTAATGAGTCGTTCCTGGCTTTATACATAAACACAGCGGTCTTATATTCCACTAAATCAAAGAATTTTAACAATTTAGACTGTATGATACTTTTCTCTCCAACGTGAATCTATAAACAGGGAGGTCTAATGTGATTTAGACTGATTTTTTTTAAGGACTAACAAGCCAGTAAGTTAACCTGCTGAGGAAGAAAGCAAAGTTTCCTTCGGAAACAAGACATCACATTAGTGGGAACAACTGGTGGCAAACGGCAGCACAGTGGGATAAGTGGAACAAGAAACGTCTGGCTATTTTCGCAGCGTGGAAACGGAGCCGGTGTGTGCTAGCATGTCGCTGGGCCAAAGTAAAAATGGTGGCTGGTTTCATCCCAGAAAAAAAGTCCAGGTGGCAGTAGCTATTATAATCTGTCTCCCCCTTCTTTTTTCCACTTTAACGTACGGAGAAAAAAGCAAGGGGAACACAACACGTCGCAGAGCTGCTGTGCTGTACCTACCGCCGCAATCTCGGCCCAACCACACATCTCCATCGGCTGAGGTTGCTCCTCTCGCGCTCCCGTCGTCTTTCTCCTTTTCCTCCTCCACCCCGGTTTTCCGTGATTAAATCATCGCTAGGCCCTGGAAAAGCGCTGCGGTTCAGACGACAACAATCCCAGTGTCCTCTTCTTCCCTACGCCCGTCCATAGAGAGAAGGAGGGAGACAGCGAGAGCCGTGGCAAGACTACGCAAGTTTGGCTGCTCTCTGATCCAGCCAGCGCAAGGCCCTGCCCCCAGCCGACCACCAGCCCGGAGTCAAAAACTACGCTTCCGCTGCGGGGTTTCACAACAAAAGTCGTGTTGAGAGACATCACTGTGTGTTGTTCTGGACGTAGTATGAGTAGTTTTAACACGAGTTTGTACCTTTAATACAATTATATTTTATGTATTTAAGACATTTGCATATTTGTGTCATCCCCGTGAAATAAATAAATAGAAAGCTAAATTTGATTTATTGACACCATCACCAAACCTAATGAGATAACAAGTAGACTGAAGGTACCTTTTATTTTTATCCAAATGAAGTAGAAGTAACTCTGTTTTTAAGTTTCCATTTCCTCATATGAGGTTATGGGATTGTTGCAGTGCCTTTGGGTATAAGTTATTTATGCGAGGAAGCCCTGCCATGAATACATTTGTTAAACACAACACAGAAATGTTGCTTTCTGACACTATTTTGTGAACATTCACTGACAATCAGTAATGACTGCACATCACAGGCTTTTGGTTTGAAGGTCTAGCCTATATACTGACTTTCACTACAATGTGATCTTCAACTTTCTGTCTTGCCTCTGTATCTGCTACTTCAGAGTTTAAGCGCCTTACATGGTGCATGTTCTGAAATCCCGCGTTCAACTTCTTGCAGATGTGTACTGTATGTGGTTGTAAACAACCTTATTTTGGAGACAGTTACCCTACTTCCCGTATAACCTTGCATATCTCCCATTTGCTTAACGCAGCTCTTATCTCCAGAAGTGTCTGTTGTCGGCCTCACACAGACTCTCTGCTCATATTAAACTAACTTTCGTACTTGAATGACTCTTAAATGCATGCCTATCCTTCGTACTTGAATGACTCTTAAATGCATTTAAGAGTCATGTAACTTTGTAATTATTACCTCTGTAATTAATACTGCACCGTATGTTAGTTTTGTTCTCATTTCTTCTTCCTGGGAATATACATTTATCTAAAAGGCGATAAATACAAGTGAAAACTGAAGGCATTGCTTTGGAGACAGTAATTAGGAACTGGACTATGACTGACTTCTGTGGATTACCCTCTGACAGGATTATGTTTCACCTTTCTGCTGTTTCATTCCTCTTTTCACACACATAGCCTAAGCACTATGGATAAAGGGGACACGGTTGATGTTTTATTCTGAAAGCTACAAAGCCCAAATCAATGAGCAATTGGGAATTGTGTGATAAATGATCAAACTGCAAGGAATAAAATGATAAAAGTCCATTCACATTTGAAAATTAATTCAAAGAACTGTTTCTGCTTATTAACAGCAATACAAAAATGCACACCACAATGAAAGACATCATCTTTTTTTGGCAAACCCTCTTAGAAAACGTCTGTCTGAAAATGCAATCTTTTTACGCTCTTACACACAAATCATTTTTGCTGTACTCCAGCTGCTTTAAGTAATCAGAGGAATGTTACATCTTGCTCATTATAAAACTGCAGTCACAGACACACGTTGCATATGCAATGAAGAACTTTTTGTTGACAACCGCACACATTTTAAAAAACACTGAATTATAGTCGCTAAAAAAATGACAATAATATGTACATCCCTGAAATAAACAGCAAAATCAAGCTAAATGGAAAAAAGATGACATTCTGTGTGCTAATAGTTATATGAGCATAGTGCTAGGGTTTCTATTCTTCACACTGTCATCAGTCTGTCAGGCTCATTTTATGTACCAGTCTTTCACACTGAAGTTGAAATTCATCATATTATCTCTCTCATGTTGTTTCTCACAGTCTCCCATACAAACACTTATTCATTCATTATTCTATGAGAATATAGAATTTCTCAATAAATCTGATGGCTTAAACATTTCAGTACAGTCATAACTGTTTGATCATGAGCAGTTAGCTGCAGCTACATACACGTTATTGTTAATTTTTAAAGACAGATGTCCATTGGCAGCTTGGACAAATGGTCAAGGAGTTATTTTTCCCATGTTCATAACCAGTCCATATGTACATCACAATTATTAACCTGTGGCCACAGCTCCAACAATGTCTTAGCTTCCTCCTTCACAGCTCTGCATTAACTACATAGTGGAATCATTTTACTACAAATCGTCTTTACAATCGAAGGCATGGGTAGAAAAGGTCAAATATTAGGTGTGTTTAAAACTCATAGTCCTTTTCAGCCATGTCAATTGCCCAGGCAAACTTCTCTCTCTGGGTTTTGTTGTAGATCTTCTCAATGGGAATGCCCCATTTCTTGCACCTGGACAGAAGGAAAGATAGTCCAGTTAAAGACTAAAAGTGTCTGAGCTCATCCACATACTGGGTGAGCCCACTACGTTCTATTCATACTGTAAATAGGAACTTCCATGAAGGAAAGAAGAAAGTGAGTCAGATGTCAACAAAAAATCCAAACGTGTTTGGCTCATGTCCATTGCATTTACGTTTGGGTTTGATTATTGGCTATTGCTGGTTTACTGCTTTTTTTGCTGAAATGGGAAAGAATCAGCTATATATTACTATATTAGCATTATGCATTGTATAATCCTGTTTTTTTACACACAATACATATGTACTGTACACTGTGTTTCGTGTTAAAACCTTCCCATATGGTTACAGACATTTTGTTAAAAACTGAGAAAGCACAGGTGAAACAAAGACCCAGTTGTATTACAAGTCCCAGTATGTCATGACAATGCTTGTATAACACCAGAGCGCTAAAGCTAGCTCACCTAAATGGAATGCACCCGTCATAACTGTTATTGATTACAACTGTGCTTTTCCTGTAATGACATGCCACAATGTCTGCTGTGAAGAAAGTTTTTTTGTGGCACACTGTCACAGCTTACTAGCACACTTGGATGAAATAGAGTCATTGTTATTGTTATTAGTAACACCTATCCTTTATCTCCTATGACGAGTTCAAATGTCCACAGTGAGAAAGGCTTGTGGGATATCTTGGCTCAACCATGTATAGACTTTGGTTCCATTTTCTTGATTCTCAAGACATCTCTAATCCTCTCATCTGGGGTTATTTTAAAAACAGATTATAAACCAAGGACTCCCATGAATCCTGTGTGATAATCATTCAAATTGTACGGCACACCAGTGATCTGGTTTTGGATTAAACACTAATTCTGTTTTTGTCTGTTTTTTTGTACACTTAATAGAATTAGTAGATACTATATTATGGAAATGAGAAACACTCAACAAATATGGCCTTCTGTGTGACTCAAGATAGCAGCTATTATACTGTAGCTAAACATAAAAACAGATACGTAATTCCCCTGCTCATTTCAGGCAAAGGTTGTAGCTGTTATTTAGATTTATTTACACAACTAATTTAATGAGGTTTCTAAATAGTCAAGTCAACTGTGCTAGCAACTTAACCAATCTCTTTATAGTTTGAACCTACTACGGTCTTTGCATGAAAGAGTAAATCTTGCACTTACAGTGTAGACCAGGTTCCCATGCACCACCCTATAACTGAGGACCCCATCATTTATGCCTTACAAGCTGGCAAAACATTAAGCATTCCTGTATCCATTGTGCTTGAGGAGGAGGATCTCCACATATAGCTGTAGGGCATGGGTTAGGGAGGGCAGACAACTGTTGCCCTTCTCTGTGGCCTGCCCTTCCATTGAGCCACACACAACTCCTCATTGGCTTCTCACATGAGGAAGGAGTGCTGTTAGGGGATGCTCCCTGGCTTTCAGAAACAAACACCATTGTTTTTCGTGCTCATACGCTTTTCTTCCTCTTATTTTCCATCTTCGGCCATCAGCTTTTTGGCTCGTGCTGCTCCTTTTCCTACAATGCAAGAGTATTTCCTGTCTTTCTGTCATCAAGGTAGTCCTGTACCCTGCACACCCACCCACCCAGAGAAAGCTGGCCAATGAAATAGTAGGTGGTTCACGCTTTTAATTGTTTCTTTTTACTGTACTGACACCTGTAATCAAACAACACTTAGCAGTCAAACCAAGGTTAAAAAGAAAATATCTGTTGTGTCATATAAATACCATGCAACAGAGATGCGTGGATCCAGGTAGTTGAGCTTGGAGGTGCCCAGAGCAATCTGCTTGTTCTCCTCTCTGTCTGTGGCCTGCACCTGGAGCTTCATCAGCTGCTCCTCTATCCTGTGGACAGCTTTACGCTTCACCTCCACAGCTCTGAGAGAGATGCAAAGACAGACAGCGGGTAGAAGAAGTGTAGATCCAGAAATAGAGAGATTCAGAGATGCATAGAGGCAGGGAGACAAGAGAGACACTGAGGGAAGACAATTATACAGATGGACTGAAAAACAAATGCAGATATGTTTGTACAGATAAAACTTTGTGGCCTTCATTCTGCCTGGGATGAAAGGGTTTCAATAAGTGAGTAACAGAGAAAACTGTGACAGTCTCTCACATTGTTAGCAGTGCTGAGGCATTCTTACTTTTTGCTCTTGTCATCATGAGAAGCCTTGTGTTCAGCCTTGGCAGCTTTCAGCTGCTTCCTCGCTGCAGACAACTGGTTCTGTTTTTCATCGATCTGCAAACACAACAAACACGCTGAGTGAGGATATAATCTTCATCATATAGAGAGGGAATATCTTTATCTTTCACACTGACAAAAAAAAAAATTCACCCAACAAAACCAAAATGACAACCAGGATGTGAATTACAGTGGGGTGGGGGAAACACAAGTGCACAGGGTGTTTCCAACTCTGCAGACACAATTGCTTGTGGACTAACAACAAAATCAAAGAAAGGTGGAATGCATGGGTATACTTTAGTCTGAAGGTTCTGCATGGACTTCTCAAATGTTTTGGGTGGCGCTCTCTGGTGGTTACAGAGGATGGCCACTGCTCGGTTGGCTCGATTATATGACAGGATCTTAGCCGGGATGCTGTCATCAGCTGGAGAACAAACAATGACAAAGCAAACACATTTATAATCACTGAAATCTGAAACCACTATATTGCAGTGTTTATGTATTAAAAGGCATGAAAAGTTTTAGTCATACACAATACATTTCAAGAACAGTACATTAGTAACTGAGCCATTTGCACAGAAACCTGTGTTTTGGTGATTATGATTGATTATTATTTTAATATAATTACACAGAAATCTGTCTGGGAAGGCTTCAAAAGTCAGCATGTGGAAACAGTGAATCTGTGAGGTTCAAGTTCAAATCCCTACCTCCTTCACCTCTTCTATAGTCCCCAATATGAATTTATTTTGGTTCCTTCACCTCTCACTTATATTTGTGTTCCCACAATATTCCAATGTCTGTCTTCACCCACTGATATATATTTCAACATAATGATACTTATAAAGTTGTCTTAACAGCTGAGTGCTGCTGCTGCTGCTAGCTTACGGCTATAGTAAACTAACACTGTCAATTTGCATTCATTTATTTCACTTCTGTTGGTGATGGAGCAGACAGTATTACTGTACTTACATGACAGTTCTGCTTTATTGTTTGTCCCTATCAAATTTTGCTTTACACGAGTTTATGTTCCATGTTGAATATTTTATTACAAAGCCTTTTGCACTTCTCTCTTGTGCGAGAGAGGAGCTGGAGCAGACCGTTTTATTTACATTGAGGTTCGACTTTATTATCCGCCCTGCTCAGAATAAACAAACATAAACTCCAAAGTGATCCTGGTGTTGTGAAATCTTCTTTGCGGTTTGGCAAAACCAACATCCACTATTAACCAATTACTAAAATCAAAATATTATTAGAGCATGAACATAACCAATAAAAATTAAATTAAATGTTATTTAATATTTTTTTATGTTTTAAATTTATAGTTGTGGCAGACATACAGGTCCTCTAGACACCTCCAGGGGTTGCTGCAGCGCCCCTACTTCCCACAACCTTGCATGTATTTGAGACCAGCATTGCAATTGCCTTCTTTTAAAAACTACATGGCTGCCATTCGGGTGAGCTGCTGAAGCTGTTGTCACTCACGACAGGTAAGTTCCTTGAGCTGCTGTTGCAGGGTGATGGAAGCGTTGTAGGTACGAAAGACCTTGGCTGTCAGTCCATCCATGAGTTCCTGTAAGTGCTTATTCAGAATAGAAGTCTGCAGGAGACACAGAAAGAGAGAGTGACAGAGGCATTACAGTGAAAGGAGGTGAAGGTAATGCACAGATACAAAGTATTATAATTAGAAAATCAAACAATAAACTTAGAAGGCAGCCCTAGAGCCAGATATTCACGTGTGTTTCTTACATTAAGCCTGTCGAAGAGGTCGTCTTCAGGCTGCTTGTTCTCCAGAAACAACTGAAGGTTTTTAAAAACCTGTTGAGAAATCAGCAAATATTTACTCTGTCATACAATCACTTACACTTCAGAGTTACCTGTGCTCATGCATGCATTCTCAAATTTCTCCCAGATGAGGGTGCTATATTATTGTACTTCATGATAACAAGTACAGGTGCTTTATTGCAGATTAGTGTTTTTGTATACACTTCGATGAGAACAAACAAAGCCAAATGACCGTGGGTCCAACAGAAGCAGACCACACTTCAGATGGCGGTTTAGAGGAAAGAACATCTCATTTCTCTATAAACATACTTCCCCGTTTCCTTAATCTTTTCCTTGCATATGCCCTCACGTGTCTAGTGAGAGGGACTAAGTTACAAGGCAAAGATGCAAATGAATGATATGTGGATGCAATAAGAGAACTGAGATGTAACATATGTATAAAAACAGATGCACAAAGGAAGGGTAGCCAAATAAGCTGTGTTAAATCATTTGTGACTGAAAAAAGCAAGTCCTGTGTGTGCGTGTGGACAAAATATGTTTGTGTGCCAGAACAAAACAGTAATAGCAGGAAACAGACCACCCTCTAAGGGAGAGCAGGCGGGAAGCTTTTAAGGCCTGATCATCTGTCTGTGCAAACATTTTCCTCAGCGTAGCAGCTTCTTATCTCATTAACACTAAATTAACATGTCTGCCAAATGCACATCCAACACCAGTCACAAAACCAGAAACGACAGTTTTGTGCTTTGGTGTATCTGCCATGAGTCGTCTTTGTCTCCTCAGTTCTGTGTTTAATTCTTCTCTACCTTCCTTCGCACGTTCCTCCTCCTCTTTCTCTTTCTTACCCTTTTCTCTACGGGGATCTTGTTGTAGTAGCGAATGGAGTCTTTTCCCAAGAAGTCAAACTCCACCACATACTCCTGGTCATCCATCTTGGGGTACAGTTTGATGTGCTCCACCCGCAGAGAGCAGCAGCCAACAGTGTCTGCTGTCTCACCTTCCTCCTTTTCATTGCCCGCCCTTAGTGCTAGCTGCAAGGGAAACACCACACATCATGACCAACATCAAGATTAGAAGTGAAGCAGCTTGGTTTACTTATACCAGTGGGATGAAGTGACCCCTTATGGCTCAATGGAATATTTCAAAAATAATAATAAATAAATAAAAAATACTGTAAATTTCAGCAGTTCACTTCACCTTACTCTGATGGTAGATTTCACCCACTGCTTTTTTTCAGATGCATCACTAGTTAAAATGTTGATGGCTATAATCTTTTTCCCACTTGTTCTGTGTATTTTATGATTACAGTTTTACTGTTACTGTTTATCACCTTATCTATGAAATACAGTGCCACAGCTCTCTGCCTGATCCTCATCTCTTTTGATTTCCAGTCATCTCTATACTGGGTACGGATGTGATCCACACACTTCTTCAACCGCCGGGCAGTCTCATATTTCTGCCAGTCCTTCTCCCCCTGCACAAACAAACATTTTTTTCATGAAGGAAAAGCCTGGTAAAATATGTAACCTTAGATGTGGGTTAGGATTACGACACGACTGAGGCCAGAGGCTCAGTCTTGACTCCATAGGTACCTTGATCCTGGAGCTAGGATTCAACATGATGTACTTGATGGAGCCTTGGATGTTCTCCGTCCAAGACGCCAGCCAGGTCACCTTGTTGTCATGGCGAACCTCTTTCCATTTTGTCCCCGGGGGAGGTTTAGGCTGCTTGGAGTCCCTGCAGAAAATGAAGCAGGTTTACTGTATATAGGCGTCAAACAGGTTTGTAATATACCTATGTATTTTTTTTTACCTTAATGGGGACTCCAAGACTATGTTTATACTGTAAACACAACAGCTATGAGACAATAGAGGAATGTCACTGTAAAACAAACCCTATCATCACCGGTACTGCATATGCGCTGGCAAAATGTCCTCCCTGAATTGTGTTGTGTTTGCACACACACAATATATTCTGACAGGAGGACTACTTTTGATGCATTGCCAGCATGTGTGCAAGTGTATGTAGTCATATATCTGCAGTACTGTACATGCCACATGCAGCACATACATTTTGTCAGTGTCACTGTGATGGAAACTGACTGTTACAAATTAGCCTTCCCATAAACTCTCTCATACACACTGCCCTGAAGGCATGAAGTTAGAGAGATAAAAATAAATATATTCCCATTGTCTATAAATAAATCCAGCTTTCACAACAAAGCAGTAACAAAACAGAAGAAAGAATGAGAGGTTTATATCTGTGTGTGAATTTTTAACAGAGTACCTGCTTCCACAAGTGCCCACTTAATATCTTCTGTTTTCACAAGCACACATGCTCCTGTCTTACGACTTTAATTCACATGCTAGTCTTTACACACATTGGTCTGACAGGGAAACCTTGTGGGAAAAACTCAGAAGTAAACATAATATAAACATCAGCTTGTTGACAGGTCGTGTGTTCCTTCTTTGCACAAACAAATGTAAAATGAACAAAATGAAAACAATTCTTGGTAGTGAAGCTGCAGTGAGGACTGCCTACTTGCTACAGTTAATAATGATGTCTTCAGGTCTGATGCGACGTTTCAGCATGCCCATCTTTGGATGGTCACCTCGTCCTCGGAAGAGACCTGGAGGCTCGATGCGGAAGTTTCCGATCCTCTCCTTATGGTTGTCCATAATGCAGAAGCCGTACTCCTGGAGAAGTCTCTCATTCTCCTCTTTGATTTTCTACAGAGTATGAAAATACATTGAGAGACTCCATGTTTTCAAGGTTGATAGAGTCAGAGCAGAAGCAGCCCTACCTGTTTCTCCTCCTTTGACATCTGTTTCCTAGCTTCCGACTGGGCTTTGAAGTACTCATTCATCTCAGCGAAGTTGCACTTGTTCAGGTCGGTGATCTTTGACTTCTCCTCCGATGTCATTTCCTAAAGTAAAAAAGAAGACAAGTAGTATTAGAAGTATGCCAAATTTAAAAACTTGAACTTCACATCCTTTGTAGACTCATGGCTTGTGAGCTCAACCTGTCTTACGTCCTCACCTTCCTCCAGTCCTTAAAAAAGTTTTTCCTAAAGATGTCCTTGGTGGTGTACTCGTGATCCAACATCTTGGCAAAAAAAGTGGCTACCTCCTCAGCAGGAGCACTAAGTTTCATAGGCTTACCTACAAATAGAGACATTTACACTGTAGTCTTGACCAAAAGCTAATTAATAATGCATTTGAACTTATTTGTTACACAGACAAATTTACCATCATAGTAAAATTTGACTTTGTCAGGCAAGGGTTCGTAAGGGGGTGCAAATACTGGACCCTTATGCTCGAGGAAACGCCATTTGGAGCCATCGGTATATCTCTCCTCCTCCCACCTAATCACCACAAACAACAAAAAAACATAACCTGTGAGAGAAAAGAAAACAATGCCGTCTACTTCTTAGCAGCAGTTTATATCAGCTAACTGTCTTTAGTCTGTAGTTTCCTGAGGAGAAGAACCATTTGTCTGCAAACCGATCTCACCATTTCCACTTCTCCTCTTCTTCTTTTTTGGCTTTCTTTCCCTCTGTTATCTTTTTGTCTTTTGTCTTCTTTTTGGGCTTAATGTCCTAATGAAGAGAAGACAAATAAATCTGGAGAACACAGACAGCACATTCCAGCCTAAAGAATATGTCAATAATGCACAAAAACACAATAACAAACCTCATCTTCCTCATCTTCTTCATACTCATGTTTCCTCTTTTGGGCCTTTTTGTCATGTTCTGTCTTGACTTTTTTGGGTTTGTATTCAAACCTGTAAACAAATACATTGATAAATGAACTGGACCTTAGATAATAAGCAGTAAATACAGCAAACAACAAAAGCTAAATGTAACAATAATGATTTGGATTCATTTAAACGATACCCACTCTTCATCATCATATTCTCGTTTGGAGAACTTGTTGTGTTTGGGAGAGGGGTAGTAACCGTTGTCTTCTTCAGGCTCGCTCTTAATGGCAGCAGGACTTGTGTCTCTAAGTTACATGTATAACTGCATATTATTAAAGCAATAACCCATTCATCATAACCAAGCACTAGATATTCTGCTGTAGAAAGATTTTCACATCAGACATGACAAAGTGATGCTGTTTACCTCACATATCCATTTTCTTTCTCCTTTTTAGGCTTGTCATGGGATGATTTCATCATCTGTGAGAAACAGTGAAATACAGGATGAATTGGCAGAAAAATATGATGTATTACTTGCAATAATAAAATTCCACAGAACATGAATAAACATGAGAGCTATGTCAGAGCCATAAAATACTTATTTGGTGATCGTGAGAAAATATAATTACAAAGTCAAGATATAATATTTACATTACAGGTCTGTACAGGCCTTTCAAAAATGGCAGAGTATCTCCGGACAAACCTTCTCTTCTCTCCTCTTCTCTTTGTCCTTTTCTCTCTCTTTGTGTTTTTCCCTGTGCTTGTCTGAGCTGCTGTCGCTGTGCTTCAGCTTCTCTCTGTCTTTGTCCCTGTGTTTCTTCTCTGAATGATCCTTATATTCACTGGAACACAGAAGCCACAGAGGTCAAGGGTCAAGTGCAAGAGGTCAGATGCAGCCCAGATGCACAGACACAAAATATATCATCGACAAAGCACCGACAAACCAGTCTAAACTTAAATGTTTTTAACAAAAAATGACCGTGCCGTAGATGCAAAGTTGCTGCAGCCCACAAATATTTCAACCAGACAAAAGGAAATCATAGCAAATGTTCCACATTAGTTGAATTTACAAATGCTCTGCTTATGTCATTCATGAAAGTAGGTTTCAGGGAGTCTTTATGATGAACTAACAGGTGATAAATGAAAGGACAAGCCATCATAAAGTGCCTTAATGAGGTGTTGGGCCATCACATGCCACTTGCATTCATTCCATTCCGTAATGGAGGGATGAACACCATTCTTCCAAAAGATATTCCCTTTTTTGTGTCCAAAATCTCTGGTGACTACGAAGTCCATAACATATGATTCACATTATTTTCATACTTATCAAACCATTCAGTGACCCCCTCGAACCCTATGGATGGGGGCATTGTCATCCTGGAAGGGACCACTCCCATCAGGATAGAACAGTTTCACCACAGAATGAAGATGATCACATTTACCGGTACTATGCCAGTATCTAAATTCAATCTGTCTCCATTCATTCAGCTTTTTCCTTTAATTTGTCCCCAGTCTGTAGGTTTGCTTAGTTAACATGTCAGGATTCTATTAACTTTAGCTAAATCAGCCATACCCCCAGTGAATCTTTTTTATATGTTTCAAACAGGCATAATCAGTATCCAAGTATATCAAAACTGTTATTCTCCTCATTTAAGCTTCACATGGGACAATTAAAACCACAATCCATAACAGACTATATACTGAGAAAATAAAGCAGGGTAGGTGAGGACAAGTACACATCAAGAGCTAAATTATCTTTTCAGGGCAGTCAGCAACTTCAATATGTAAACACCGATGTAGGAAGAAATCAACATTGGTTAAGTTATTTGCAAAAGACATAGACAAGTATTGTTTTTTATTTCATCAAGTGAGAGGAAGATGTAGATATCTTACCTGTTGCTGTGTTTGAATTTCTCTCGCTCCCTGTCTTTCTTATGGTCTTTGTGTCTGTGTTCCTTGTCTTTGTGCTTGTCTTTATGTTTGTGAATGTCTATGATATAAAGAGGAAATCAACTTGTTTAGCAGCATTAAAAATCATAAGAAAAATATATTTTCTGATCTGTCAAAAATCAATGTTTTAAATCTATTTGCCTAAGCCTATAGATTTAGATGCCTGTTGTATTTATGTGGAACAGGAAGTGTTTTAACACAAGCTAACAGAAAGAAAAACACACTCCATATTTCTTCTATATTCCACTCTACTGTTTAGTCCCATTCCTGTGAGCCTTCAAAGCCCTGCATCATGTCTGACACACATTTCCTGTAGCTGATCCCATTGATGGTTACAAGACAATGTAAGACATGTAAAAGCTCTACTTGACACTCAGACTGAAAGTGGCTACACTGGTTCTTGTCCCTATGTCTCTGCAGTCATTTTGTAGTTGTTTTGCATTTCCTTGTAGTGGTTTTGTGTCTTTTTTTTGGTCATTCTGCATCTCATTGTAATTATGTGTCTCTTTGTAGTTGTTTTGATGTCTTTTATTCGTTTTGCATCTCTTCTGTGACTTCTTCCAGGTTGACAATATCCTCCAGTGCCACTGTGTGTTCAAAAATGGCACCTGAACTTCAATATTTTGTTCCCAGTTAAAGTGAAGCGAGGCTGTCTGAATCCAGTCCAACGCTCCCTGCCACGGCAGATCCACACTGACATTCTTCTGCACAGATATAATACAAAATGCTACCGCATACTATACATATTATTATAAGAAACCATCAAATAAAGTTTAAGATACAGTTTTCAGACCTGTGCTGTTGTCCTGATTACTAAGTTTACTGCATTTTAATGAAATGTTACTCTATCCTTATTATGCTGTGCCATTGTAATAATAATAATAATAATAATAATAGGTTAAATTTGATTGGCAGAAACTCAAAAATGCACACCATCTTTCAAGAAACACTTGTATGGTGATGCTGGAGACTGTATTGACCTCACAAAAATAAAGGCAATTGATAATTGCAGTTGGCAGTAACCTTGTCATACTTTTAAAGGCTACTGACAAGGTTACTGCCAACTGGTTACTTTAGTATTTGCCACAGGATCACTATAACATCCCAACAGTATTATTAACATAACAATAGGCTTCTTCAGCCAGCTGTTTGACTGTCATACTGTCAGTTCAGATACTCAAATGATTAGGCTGTAACAATGACTTTACAGGAGCCTTCATATCAAAAATGGTTTCTGCTGAGTGAAATCCTTGCTGACAGAGACCTGGCTTAGCTTGATCATCACCTCCAGAGGCCACGTTGTCATGGCAGATTAATAACGGCGTTACCTAGTACTGTCATAAAATCCCAGTTATAAAAGAAATCATTTCCTACAGCTGGATTTTCTTTCCATCAAGTCAGGCAGCAAATTAAGCCTTCAAGGGAACAACTTTGTGAGAGTAACGAATACTCTTGTGTGGAGGTTTTAATTTGTGCAAAATGACTGCATATGCTTTTAATAATGTTGTGCAACTTTCTTTTCTGTGAATTAGTTTTAAACTCGTGTGTGAGGATTCCCCTTTGGCAGTGCTGATAAATGTCTCTTGCATAGAGACTGTAGCAAAATGCAGCTGGTGCTGAGATACGGGCAGGGAGAGGCGATAAGCTCCCAGCTCTCGCCTCCATATCACGGCAGACAGTTGGCTCTCTGATCGGCGCCCTGGCTGCTACATACAGAAAAAGAAAATGGCGCAGAGACTAAGTCCTCAGCCCCAATCCTGCCACTTTCGGCTCAAAAATTCGTTGTTATTGCACATACACATTATCAAACGAAGGCGTGCAAAACAGACACAATGCCAGGCCCTTCCGGAATACCCCATCAGATTAAAAAACCAAGGGTCGCAAGAGCATATTTGAGACCCTCTTTTTGAACAATAGCCGCAAGAGAGTGGAGGAGAAGGGACTTAGTCTCTGGGACGCCATTTCTGTCCTTTAAAAACTAACAGTAGACACATCACGATTCCGACTGGAAATCAGAGTTCATATGAATAAAAATCCTCAGCAGAGGACCTACCGCTTCCTTTAGATCCAGAATTGACCTGGAAATTGTGAAAAGGGTGTTTTTAATATTTCAATTTTGAAAATGCCGGTAGCTTGGTTATTCAAGTTTCAATTGGCATAGAAATGTAGGTTAGAATGCGTTTATTTTGTTACAATAACATGCAAATACTCCACATAATTTCATAGTTTTCATTGAAATGACAAAGAGGACAGCGTAAATTGAAAGGTTTAATAACGTTTCTTATCCGTTATTTCATAACATGACGATTGTTAATACTCGCCAGGTATGTCAGTTATTACCAAGGAATTCATACAAACTGACCCCCCCAAAAAGAATATAAAGGAAATACACGAATTACTGGCCGAGAGGTACCTGTGAATCTCCATGTCCATGATCCCCACTCATGGTCGAGTTGTTTTTGTTTGTAAAGCAGGTGAAGTTGTGACAGTACACAGCTTTACAGGATGCGAGAGCTCGGGATGCGAGGCTCAGTCAGGGAACCTTCAGTGGCACACTGGAATGGAGTCCCAACCTTTACCCAGTGCGCATGCTCACACTAACAAAATACTCTACGTGGTCCTTACTTCTACTAGTATCAGAGTATCAACTGTCCAGTCTCCACTGTGGGAGCTTTCTTTTATTGTTTTGTCTTCAATTAATTGCTCATTTATTTTTAATTGCATGTTTGTTATTAAAAACATTTCAACTTTTACGTGTAGTCCACCTGCTGTGATCCCAATTAAACTCTCAAGGTTGTGCTGGCTCTTTGTAGTAATAGATCAACGCTCGCTACTTGTAGCCTACTTTGTAACAAATTATATGGCCCTCCCAGGAAACGTTTTGGAAGGTTTCTGGAAATAAATCGGAACTCGGATTTGATACTTCTAATTGTAAAGACAGATATTACTATAGATTATTTCTTTCATGGTTGTTAAGCCTTTTAACACAAAATAACGGTAGGAAAAAAAAGCTATAATTTCTGATCTTCACACTAAGAAAAAATATATTTCATATGAAATAAGTGAAGACAACTTTTGACTTTAGATGCTAAACTTACAAAAACCGTAGCTTGATGAATGTTAACATATCTGACTCTTGACCCACATCCCTGGTAACAGGCAAACGGAGGAATGGACATGCTTTATTAACAAAGAAACAATTACAATGTTTACAAGCTCTCTCTACACCAATGCTACATTGTTGCAAAACAGGTGCTCCCTCTCACTCTGCCTTGTTTATCTCTTTTGGTAGCCAAAACATTTAAATTCAGGTTACCTGAGGGACTTCCTCCTGAGTGGGCCACGAGTAGTCCTGCATTTCTGATCCAGAACACCATAATCTGTGCTTCAGTTTCTTTTCCTCTGAATATACAGTCCTGACTATTAAATCACACCCTACTGGTGCATATCAATCAATCTAGCTGTTTAATGTGTACAGGTTAAGTACCCAAATCTTAGTAGCTTCAGAAAAATACTTGAACCATCTTATAGTTTCACAGAACAAAAGCAGTAGAAAATTTAATTCACCTTTACAACATAATTATACAATCACGGCAAGCTTAATTTTCAATATCATGTGATTAATCCAGCATTTAATATAAAAAGCACATTCACACAAACACATACTGTATGCACACATTCTAACTACAATCTCACATAAAAGCAAAACAATAGCACATGATTTTTAATCTATCTGTACATGGTTTCCTCCTACGAATATTCATAATCTGGGACAGAGAAACCAATATCAAATGATTCACAGCAGAAAACAAAAACATATACAGTACTGTTCACATGTTGCCACAACTACAGTTGGGCCTATTTGGACTTCCTTCGCTTGGCCTGGGTGGGGCTCGCTCCAGTTTCTGTTCAAAATAGCATAAAACTATATTAAGGAAAAGGTAGTAACACCATGTAGTGACAGTTATGTCTTTTGAAGCTGCATGTATGCATTTACCTTTTACAGCAGCACTGGTTCCAGGCCTGGCTGATCTCTTCCTAATGCCACTCTCTGTTACTGGCTCCTCCTCCACCTCCTTCTCTGCCCGGGAGCTGCGTCTGCTCGGTCCCTTGGGTTTCTCCACAGCAGCTCTGCAAGGACCAGATAGAAAAACAACAAGGAAGGACAACACAGTGGTGTGTTACTAAACATGCAGGACTGTGAGTTAACTCTGCTCTACTCAGAGAAAAATATAATACCACTCAGGACTGCTGTTTTTCCTCATCTACCACAGATACTGCTCTTCTTCATCTCGACAGCGTCCACTACGTCGACATGATCACTGCGTGTGTTCTTTGCAGCGCAAACATATTAAAATACATACCTTGGGACTAAGTTGATGGGCGTCTTTCTTTTCTTTGCCCATCTGTGATAGAAGTGGAAAAACAGCGGTAAACTATAAACTGTGCTGAACAAACATGGCTTCACTCCCCCACCACATTATGACAATCCCCAGGAATTGAGATACGGCCATGAAGGTCAGTGGACTACGGCGGTTTGCTTTGTGATAGATGGTTCTTTGTTTCAACTTCTGACATGCATTATTATGTTCATATTTTTGCATGCTAATCATACATACCAAGTGCTGAGGCCACGTGGGTCATTGTTTTCACCATGGCCAACCAAATGAACTCCCTGAGTTTCAGTAGAGTTAGAAATGTCTAAGCATTTCTCCCTCAAGAGCATGGGTCTTAAGACTAGGCCAACTTTTGAGAGATCAATAGTAAGGGATACCATAATACACCCCACCACATGAAGTATTACACATCTAATTAACAATGTAGTAATTAAAAGAAGAGAGTGTTTTATCGGAAATCTTACCCCTGCTCAGAACCTGTCGAGGCCTCTTCACCTGAACATGACAAAGACAAGAATTCTTTTTATGGCATCTAGTTCAAAGTGTCTTATAAGATAATGACAAAATGTGTGATTAGCATGTTTAACAATTTCTAAAACAAGGATGACCATACTAACCTGTCTTCTCGCTGCCAACAGGTTCCTGTGGCTGGGGGATGTCTTGTTGAATAGGTGCTTTTGAACAAGGATGAAATAGTTTAAATAACATCTGAATGCATGAGACAAATTATGAGTCAGAAATATGTATCACACATGGCTCAGCTAAAACAACAGGGAGGCTATGTAAAGGTGTGTAGGGTGTTGAGCAGAAGGCTGTCTCCGCTACACCAAATCCACCACTTAATGGTTTTGCACAAAGCATCTGTGTCCTTTTTTTAAACAAGAAAAAAACAGGAATACAAAATGTTTCAGTAAAGATTCAAATCCAGGAAAGCTTAATTGTTAAGGTTGCATTAAACATATTACTACGGCATGTATTAGCTAACCCTTACAGCAGCATAACACACAGTAGATAAAGGTATGTGTAGTCATCAGCTTAAGGATCACAAACAGAATATGGGCATTATACTGTTAACTTGACACATGATTCTTTTAGTTCACATTTGTGCATTTACCTGCAGTGGTCTGAGTGGTTTCAGCAGGTGTTGTAGACTGCACTGGAGACTCTATAGCTGGGGGGTCCGATTGAGCTGGTGGAACTCCACTGGGGTTAGTAACTGAAGAGGATAAGCTGGGGGGAACCTCCTGAAGAGGTCCAGGTGCAGCAACAATTGGAACAATGGACGGTACAGGACTTTGTACAGGAGCAACCGTAGAGAGCAGGGTAGCAGGAGCGATACTAGTGGTAGTACCAACTCCAGTGGCAGTAGGAGCTTGAGAGGTTAGGGCCTGAGCTGGGCTTGAGACTGAGGCTGATGCAGGAACTAAAGCCTGGGTAACCATCTGTGTAGGAACAGCAACTTGGCCAGGAATTGGGACTGGAGAGGAGACTGTCGAGAGAGTGATGTTGCTTGGAGCAGGAGCATGGGGAGCTAAAGCCTCAGTCTGAACGGCACCAGTAGCAGGAGAATGAAAGACCTGCAGTGGCACAGCCGGAGCAGGTGTCTGTACATGCCTTTCTACAGGACTCTGGTGGGAGTCAGCTGTACCAGAAACGGCTGCAGCAGCCTGTGCAGGTTTACTTTTTACCTGTGCTGTGGGAGATGGAGATACAGGGCTCTTTCGAATGGTGTGGACAGCCCCAGGACTAGAGCAGGGAGGAGGAGAAACCAGAGGTGACTGAAAGGGAGAAGATGCTGAAGGACTTGCATGAGGAGATGGATGTTGGACCAGTGGACTAGATTTCTGGGCAGAACCTGCATCACCTTGATTTTCAGTTTTGAGAACTCCTGGATTCATCTGCTGAGTACTAACTGGGGCTGACGAGGACATACTAGTGGAAATCTGGACCTGGCCAACAACACCTCTGGCAGGCTGAGTGCTGGTCATGTTAACTCCTGATGACTGAGTGGAACTCAGGGCAGGAGAAAGTTGGATGTTTGCAGTGGGCACTTGGATAGGCCCCACCATGGTGACCGACTGCGGTACCACTGTGGTACTGGGAGCCACAGGTGCACTAGGGACCTGGAAAATTGGGTTGATGAATACGGGGGTGGTGATGAACTGAGTAGGTCGGGGGACAGGGGTCTGCTGCCGGATATCTTGAGGTCTAATGTTCTTGTTAAGGACAGCCACCATAGATGTGGATACCTGGGGAGTGGGGGCAGAGGTGATGGCGTTAGAGGTGACAAATACAGTGATCTGATTGGAAGAAATGGTGCTAGAGGAGGTGGGCATCTGTATGACTGAGTGAACACTTGTCACAGGTTTAGGGCCAGGGACTGATTTTAGGGCTGAACTGGCTGGGTTTAAAGCAGAGCTGCAGTTTGAACTGGTACTTACAGTGGAGGCAGAACTGCTCTGACCAGAAGTGACTTTGTTGGGGCTTAAACTGAGGGCAGTATTAGTGTTAGTACTGAGGGTGTTGCAAAGAGTAGGCACTGGGTTTACATTCAGATTTGGATTGACACCATGACTACAGATGGGGATTTGAGTAAGGCTGGGGGTACTATTGGAGTTCACGTTAGAGCTAGCGTGTGAGCTGGGAACTGAAGCAGGCTGCAAGTTAGGACTACTGGTAGGGACTGGGATAGCAGATTTGGGTTTAGCTTCTGATTCATTAATAGTGACAGAAGCTGATATGTCTGTAATCTGGGAATTACTGTGGAGTGGTTTATCTGGATCCAAAGCAGACTTGGGGCTGTCCTTTCCCATAACATCCCTAACCGTATTACTCTGTATGGGCCGAAGAGGCATGTTTGGGCTACCAGTGTTATCCAGTAACTGGTTGAGGGAGGTTGGAGCTGCCCGGAGAGCAGGTGAGGCGTCGGAATCCGGCATAGGTGTTGCTTGTGTTGGTTGTCTATCAATGGTGCCAGCCTGCAATTCCAGGTCAGGTTTAGGCTGCTGAGGTGCAGGGAAACGAGGACTTGCCATTCTGGGAGCTGATAACTCCCTCAAAGGCAGTGGCTGGGGCTGAGTCTGAGGCACATGTCGCTGCTCTGCTGTCATCATTCCCTGACTTTCTCTGACTCCCTCAGCAGTGTTGCCTTGAATCCCATGGAAAGGGCTCTGAGTCTGATGTGCCTCCATGCCCCCACTTAGTTGTGAAGGTGTAGTTACTGGACTTGGGGGTACTGAGGTAGGGCTTAGCATCAAGGCCTGCCCTTGTGGGTTGACCAGCTGCTGCTGATGGGGAGGGCAGGTGATGGCCATTTTTGTCCCCTTTTGTCTTCCTGGACTTGGGGTGGCTGACTTGCGGCTAGAGGCTGGACTTGACTTCCGACTACTGCTAGGACTTGCTCTCTTACCTTGCCCTCCAGGCTGCTTGTCCTGTTTAGAACCAGCACTACCTGCTCCAGTGCCAGTAGAGAAAGGCTGCTGATTATTGTTAGTGTTATTTACACCCGTATTGCCATTGTTGTTGCCACCTGGGAGAGTTAAGCTAGGAGGGGCCTGCCCAATGGCTTTCAGAGTTGTTGGGTTAAGACCTTGCTGGTCAAATCCTCTGTTTAAGTTGGGCTGCCTAGGAGGTAGAGGGATGTTGATTTTGGGAGGAAACAGCCCTGCAATAGAGGCATTTAGCCTCTCAGGTGAAAGGTTGATTTCAGATGGTTCAGTACTGGGTGGACGATTAGTTGGGGTGAGGGGATGATGGTATGGCCTGGGGCTGGCTCTGTTGGGGGTCTTAGGCCTGGAGCTCTGTGTGGTTGTGGGGACATTAGGGAAATGAAGGCCAGGCATGGGGCCTCCTTGTTGAGGCTGAGTGGGTAACTGCTGCTGGGGACTGGCTCCAGTGTGTTGGGGTACTGGTGATGGACCAGGTCCTTGCTTCATTATGTGAGTGTTGGAGCCCTGATTGGCCATCATCTGCTGAGATCCATTTGCAGGTTGCACCCCCATTTCTGAGCCACTAGACCTGTCCTGCTTCATGTGAGGCCCTGCAGAGGCCTCTTCAGATCCAGTGCCTTGGGAAGCCTGCACCACATCAGGATGGGACATTCTTCGTGCAGTGCCAGCAAGCTAGAAAGGAGAACAAATACAAAATGTGTACAAACAAGTAAAAGTCAAATCATTAGATTTAAGTGTAAATCTCATGTCTATATATGATGTAGCACTTTGGCCTCACCTGTGGGTTCACCATCAGGGGCATCCCTCTGGCTTTGTCAGGTGATGGTGGTACTGCTCCATGTCCTTGTAGGCTGATCATTACAGGCATGTTGCCTTGTTGTGAGACAGGAAGCCTCTGCACCTCAGGTGGATTCCCCATGCCCCGAGGAGGGAGCTGTCCTCCTGGTGGGATGGACATGCGATTCTTTGCATGCTCCTGCTGCAGCTTCAACACCATCATCATCTGCTGCTGTTGCTAAAATGAAGAGCAACATTAAGTTAGACCAGATAAACATTTAACCACTATGTTGATACCGAAAACTGTCAATGTCTATAATACTACCTGCTGTTGCAGGTGTGACTGTTGAGTTTGCTGCTGCTGCTGTTGTTGTTGTTGTTGCTGCTGCTGCTGTATCTGCTGAGGATGCATCTGGGGCTGGCCTTGGCTTGATGTTTGCGGCCCTGTCATTCCCTGCTGCCCCTGGGCATTCTGGAGACCCTGCATCTGCATCTGTTGCATCTGCTGCTGTTGCTGTATTTGTTGTTGCTGCTGTTGCATTTGCTGTATCTGCTGCTGTTGCATGTGCTGCATTTGTTGTTGTTG